GAAAATGGATATTTACAGTTTGTCCAAACCAAAACCAGGGAAAGAACCTAATTTTTCTCTCTACTGTACCTATGTCAGTCTTAAAATTCATAGAAAGCTGTAAGAGAAAGAACGGACGATATGTAGTGTTAGGTGTATAACAGTTTATTTTATTTTATTTATTTATTCATTTATTTTATTATTTTTGTTTGTTTGTTTGTTTTGAGACAGGATCTCCCTGTAACCTCAGGTGGCCTGGAACTTGCTATGTAGACCAGGCTAGCCTCAAACTCACTGATATCGACCTGCCTCTGCTTCCTGAGTGCTGGGATTAAAAGTATGTGCCAGCATGCCCAGCAGTGTATGACAGTTTAATCTGTCATTTCCAGGGTGCAGGGCATTAGGTTGCCCTCATTATCAGCAGATCAGGCCCATTCTCCTGCATCTTTACAAAGCTAGCATGAGTTGCAGAGGTACTGGCAAGATGTCCTTGAAACCCAAGCAGAAGACACTGATTTAACCAACCCTAGTCTGCATTGCTGGACTTTCAGCCGTTATAGCTGTTAATTTTAAGTTTTTAGATCAGACTTTCTGCTATTCAAAAACCAAAGCCCCAAACTTACTGAAAATTTTCAAAAACTGTTCAAGACAAGGTGGAAGTGCATTAAGTGTGCAGAGCACAGAGGGCTTCCTGTTCCCATGAATACACATGCAGCCATTGGACACACTTGTTTATACTGAGGCTCTATGTGTTCTTCTTGATAAAAATCATACTTCCAAATCTGATTAGGACAATGGTCTTGAAGAACCAACTGCTAATAGAGCTAAGTACATGTAGCCCTCTGAATGTAAATGTTAATAGTAAATTTAATTGGATGGATAAATATTGAGTATGACTAGACTCAAATGCAAAATATTTTGTTTGTGGGGTTTTAGTTCTGTTATCACGTAGCTCTTTACTTCTTAAAATATGGGGAGTATCTAGCCTAAAAATAATTGAAAAAAATTTCTTCATTAACAGAACTCTCAACTTCTGCCTGGTTTTAGTGTCTGACTATGTTGAAACTAACTTTTTGAAGGTTTCTATCACATTCCAAATGTGTAGTAAATTCTGTATACTAATTTTTCTTGCTGTTTTTGAGACAAGGTCTCCCTGCAGCCCCAGCTGGCGTGGAACTCATTATGTAGACCAGGCTGGGCTTGAACTCTCAGAGAGGTGCCTCTGTCTCCTGAGTGTGGGAATTAAAGGAGTGCCACAATGCCTGGCTACAATAAAATATTCTAACAGAAAACCCCAAATTGACTATCTTAATGTGGGTTTTCCTATGTCCTAGATATTTGTTCCTAAAACAACAGCAACCAAAGAAATGTCAAACATCTTTCAGTTTTCTCTTCTTTCTGTTGTCAAGGATAGTAATTTGGACTAGGATACAAAGTAGTTCTTTATTATGAAGGGAATTGCTTGCAAATAAAAGTTAATGTTCAAATGGAGGGCTTGAGATCTTCTAATTTGAATCAGGCTTAAACTAGCAAAATTCTTGGGTTGTTGGTGTTTTGGATGTGACGAGAATGAAGAACAGGATTCAGCTGGCCACTGGAGCTCCTGGGTCATTTCCTTCTCTTCTCTGTCAACCTCATCCAGAGCTGATTACCCCCGTATTTGTTGGTTGCAGTCTATCTGCTCTAGTTTCATCTGTGTTCTAATCGCACCTCCATTTTACTAAAGTGTAGTGCACTAAGACGTCAGTGTAGGATGTGACAGGTCCTAGTTTGCACACATGGTTTTGTTTTGCTGGATTAAGTCTGATGAGAACTCTGTTACCACATTACACATTTGTTCCTCATTTGTGTGGGCAGTTCACATTAGAATTCTGATCTCTCTTGGGGGATTGGTAGATTCAGATTTATACCTCTGTACCTTCAATGGCTGTTGAACTTCAGATAAAGATAATCGTTCAGAGGATGTCTGAATCTACTAACTTTCTTAAGAACAAACAAAGGGACCTGGAGAGAGAGCTCAACAGTTAAGAGCACTGGCTACTCTTGTAGAGGACCTGAGTTCACTTCCCAGCGCCCACGCAGTGACTGACAACCGTCTATAATTCCAGTTCCAGGGAATCTGATGCACTCTTCTGATCTCCACAACATGGGTACATTTACATACATGCAGGACAATACACTCATAAAGAAACTAATAACAATTTTTTAAAATATTTTATTATTTTTGTTTTATGTGTATGTGTGTATTGCCTGTGGGTAGGTAAGTGCACCCATGTCATGCAAGGGCCACAGAGGACAGAAGAGGCTGTCGGATCCCCTGGAACTGGAGTTATAGACAATTGTTAGCCACCATATGGGTGTTGGGATTCAAACCTGGGTCTCTTCTGCAAGAACAGCCAGTGTTCTTAACCGCTGAGCCATCTCTCCAGCCTAAAGAACATATGAAAGGGAGACACAAGCATATGGTTGCTTCATGTATAACTTATAAGCATGATGCTTGTCAGAATGAATGGGCAAAAAGTAATAACTGGATCAATAAAGGACTGTAACAAAGGGATGCCTAACTTTATTATCTTTTATTTAAAACTTTGATTTGTTAGCATTTATATCTTCCATTCAATATTTTATTTACTTTTTATTGCTTAAGAATTTCGATGGGCTTTAATCAAATCTACTCCTCATTCCCTCCCCTCCAATTCCTCTTTTCACTACCCAACCACTTTTCCCATCCAACTTCATGTGCTGTATTTTTAAACCCACCAAGTCCACTTAGTCTGCCTATGTGTGTATGAGGTAAGGCCATCCACTGGAGTGTGGGTAGCCTCTCAGGCACTACATTCCCGAAGAAAACTGACTCTCCCTCCCCAAGAAGACATCAACTGCCAATAGTTCCTCAGCTGAGGGTGGGACTTCCTGAGCCCCTCCCCTATCCATGCTGGGATTTTGGTGGCTCATGTGCACTCTCAGCTGCTGTGAGTTTCTTGAGCAATGGCCCTGTCATGCCCACAAAATGCTATTTTGCTGCAGATGTCCACTGTCTCTGGTTCTTACAGATGTTCAGTCCGTCTTCTACAATGAGCCATAGGGGAAGGGGGTATAATTGTGAGGCTTAAATGCTTTTTCTTGCATGCTCAATAAAAATGTGGTTATTTTCCCTGCCTTTTAAGTTAAGATATTTTAGAATAATGTGTTTAGAGACAAGAACATAAAAGAAACTAAGGGCTCCCATTTACTTTGATTTTAAATAATTACAATTATGACTTTTATAATTACTCCCTCTGTTTATTAGTCTTTGCTAATCCTGTTTCTTTGAAAAATCTGCCAAAAATTGGACATCCCTTGCAGGGTCTCCCTCCCAGTAGCTTATTTAGTTTTATAAAAGGTATTAACGACCCGTTTCTGCTGTACCTACTTGAAGTTTTATTTGACTTTCCATTTCTCTCTGCTCATGGGAGTTAAAGAAAAATACAGGAAAGCTTATAGAGGTGGTCAGGTTTTCTGCTTTAGGGAAAATTTAGAGAACACAGAACCTTCATGCATGTGAATGGAAGCAGACTCTTTTCAGCATTAAGCTGAGTGGATTAACACAGAGAGGGATACTAGGAAAAGTAGAGACTTCCAGTGCCTTACAGGTTTTCTCCTTGCTATGTTTCTGTATTATTTTAAATTGAAGTTGTTCCCAGAATGTCAAATGCACCCACATTCAAATATAAGTACAAAAACACATCCTAAAGCCAAATAGGAAAAACAAAAACATTTGACACTGTGTTGATTCAAATGACTATTGTAAACATTAGTTATAAATTTGTACATATAGTGGTCTGTATTTTTAAAGGTAATTCCGTATGTGTTTTTTCTAGGAAGATAATTCCCTAGTTGATGGAGAAAGGAAACCACAACTTTGACATCTTTACTTATTTGCTATTTAAATTGCCTTTGGGGGGAAAGGCAATATAGAGTTTTGCTTTAGTTGGCCTTGTTCAACTGCCATGGGAGGTTTCTCTCATCTCAGTTCCCATAGACATGTGTGAGAAATTCCTCAGGCCTGAAACAAGAGTATCTTTCTGGTTATATGATCTGGCCTAATCAACCATGAGAGCTCTCATACATTTGAAATCCTTTTGTTTAATGAAGGTCTTTCTCAGTTATCTTTTCCTTCTTCCCTGATCAGACATTGATGAGTGCAGCGTCATTCCTGGGGTATGTGAAACGGGTGACTGTTCCAACACTGTGGGAAGCTATTTTTGTGTTTGTCCACGTGGATACGTAACCTCGACAGATGGCTCTCGATGCATCGGTAAGCCTTGTATTTTGAAAGCACAATACACTGTTTCTTTATAATGACAGAGCAGCCTAAACAGGTATTAAGATGGCAACGATTATAAAACCATTGGGAAATGCCTGACAGGGTTGTTTGAAAGTGAGCCTTAATGTTATTTAGCATTATTGAGGGACTGATAAACCAGGTACTCCTTGTAAAGTCTTCAGTTTCAGAAGCCATCTGGGTTAGTTTTATGTTGTCAAAATCATGTTTTGAATAAAGAAAGACTTGCTCAGACATTACTCTTGTCCAGCACTGCAGACACAAAGACTTAAAAGCTGCTTGGGGAGACAGAATGTAGTAATTAAAGGTTCTTTTCTTGCTATGAATCATGAATACTGTCACCATCTTATTTACTTAAAACTTGTTTATTCTAGTAAAAATACTTATTACAGAAAAGGAATTGACACCTCTAATTTTGTGTTTCAAACATATTTAAATCAAAGTCAAATATACTTACATGGTCTTCTTTGTTTAGAAGGATGAAACCTCACTTTGCAGTCATGGCATGGGGTCGGTCATCCATAGGGAATACGCCTTAGACTTCTGTCTTATTGTGAGCCCAGCAGTTAGGAAATTTCCTTTCATGTACAATCATGTCATAGCAAGCTACCCTCACATTTCTGTCTTGAGCATTAAGTCTGGCTGGTTCCAATTTAAGCTGAGAATAGCTAGATAGAGAGGGGGAAATATGCACAATTCTCTCCAGCAGCACTCAAGATTCATGTCATGGTGAATCAGAGAAATTAGTGCAGTGCCCAAAGAATGACTGTCCATGATCCAGTGACGGGAGCAGGTGGGGCAACGGTCCTCTCCCCGAGTCTGGCAGTCAGAAGCTCCCTGAGGGTTCTGTAGACCCTAGGGACGGTGCCAAGTGAGCCAGCTCATGAGATGGAACTACAGAGTTAAGGTGACTAGCTAGAAATCTTAGGTCACCAATAAAAGGGCTGTGGCCTGAACCCATTTGATAAATATCCTTATTTATTGGGCCAGTAAGCTTGCTATGGTGATCCAGTGGTGAGCATGAGAGTGATAGATCCTGTCTTCAGAATACCATAATGTAACATGGGTGCTAACAGAACAGTCACAGTAGTCAAAGAGCTATCTTTTGTGAATTGTGTATGATATGGAAGGTATTGCACATCCTCAGTCTCCCGTGCAGAGCTATTAGGCCTCAAGCTGCCAATGCCTCTTTACCTCAGTTAGAGTAAGTGTTCAAAAAATATTCTACCTTATTATTATTATCATTATTATTATTATCATTATTTGGAGAAGGAAAAAACAGTGGATAATTATCCTACACTGTACCCAAGGTTTATGGGTGTTGTTTTTCTTCTCTTTGTTTTAAATAAAACTGGGCTAGGCCTTCCTATTGTTTAAATAAAAATAAAGTTTGTGTCTCTCACCAGGCTTCACCTGGGTGTTCAAAGCCTTTAAGAAGGCCTTGTATTCAAGGTGCATCTCTAAACTTTGACCTCACTATCGCATCTCTCATTGCTAAATGCAATCACATTGTCTTGTCTGCCCACAGTATCATAATTTTTCTCCCCATGTCCATTACAACCACACTCATTGTATAAGCATCAAGTTAGGAATCATTTGTAATAAATAGGTGCTCCTACCACATCCCAGTGTTCTTCTTGGGCAAAATGATTGAGCCCCTTTTATAAAACATTTTTTACTTCTCCCAGATCAGGATTTATTTTCCTCTCATAAGTATTTATTCTTTACCCACTGTCTGGACTCTGAGCTCCTTCCTTAGTCAGCACCCGGATCTCAGGCACCAGGTTGCATCTTGCATACATTTTCTGCTTAGTAAAGGTTTTTGTAACAAATAGGAAAAGCAACAAATGCATAAATGAGATGATATTGGTTGGATAGAGAAGCCTCCTGATGCTTAACATGTCTTTGTATCATTTGGCCTCCTGACGGACAAGATGATGTGCAGAGCTATGGTCCTGAATGCTCAAAAGGCAAAAGGCTGGCTCCAGTAGCCAAGTCCTGAGCTTACCAGAAATCCTGTTCACTTCAGGGCCAATGTTCTATTCCTAGGAACAGAGGGAAGGCACCCCCAACAGGAAAATGGAAAACAGCTCTGAGAGAATAGAAATCCAATGTTAAAATTAAGTAAGCAGCTTAAATTAAAAAACAAAACTACATTTCTTTCTAGTTTGCTTTCTGTTGCTGTAATAATACACTGACCAAAACAAACGTGGGGAGAAAAGGGTTTATTTCAGCTCACAGGCTATTATTGTTCATCATCAAGGAAATCCAAGGCAGGAGCTCAAAGCAGGAACCTGGAGGCAGGAACTGGAGTCAGAGCGTGGAGGAACTGCTTACTGGCTTGCTCACCTGCCTTTGTTATACAGCCAGCCCACCTGACTGACCGGAGCTGGTGGGCCCACCCTGGGCTAGGCCTTCCTATGTCAATTAGCAATCAAGAAAATACCCCACAAACACTTCTACAGGCCAATCTGATGGAGGAAGCTCCTGAGTCAGTGGTCCCTCTTCCCAGGTGTGTCAAGTTGACAACCAAGATTAGTCATCACAAAATATATCTGAAATAAGTACTGTTTTCCATATGTTAGAAAAAAATAAATACAGCATTTTAATGTGCAAGGAGTTTTTTTCTTTTCAAAATCTGAGTATATATTTTCTTAGACTGATCTGAAACTGTCCACTACCTGAACTGTTATTGAGAGTAGCGTGCACTGGGTGCTGCCCTACTTCCTTGTTCTAATTACCCCAGAAATTCCCCATACCATATTGCTATTTTAAAAAGGTAAATATGCCGAGTCTACATCACATTGTAAAGCCTCAGTGAACTTTTTCTCTTATGGGCAGAAGAGTCTCATACTGTTTATGAAGAATTTAACTAGTCATTTCAATTTTAAAATAGCATTATCTTCCCATTTCATTTTATGCAAAATGAAAAAGACAAAATCCTGACTTAATTATTATTTAGAGTGTTAATAGAGGTTTTTAAATATGCAGGAAGAAGATTTTTTTACCTTACAATACTAAACTATGCCAGTTTTAAAAATAGTTGAAGTATAATAATCTTTCTCTTAAAAGCATTTTAATCTTATTATTTAATGAACCTTATGTCATTTTGGAATTCACTACCCTTGGGCATTATTAATACCTAATTTCCATAGTTTAGTACAGTCTCAGAAGAAACATTAGTGACAACAGTGATAAATAAGAATATGTAAGACAGAGAGCAAGCAAATCCAGGCACTGTGCCTGCTGCTGCTCTCACAGAGCCCGCAGGAAACCGAGGCAAGGACTCCACAGTCCCAGTCAGTCAGAGGCAAGCCAAGTTTAGGAACTGAGATTAAGCTTTTAGGAATTCTCACAGTAAAATGATATCAAACTGTTCTAATGCCCTTCCTACAGCTTTGCAGGTTTCACTGTGCTGCCTCACCGGTGGAGTATTTTTGGGAAAACCAAAGGTGAAAACACAATGTGAAGCACGTGTGCACTAAATTACTAACTTTTCAGAGAATATGCACCATTAATCAAAAAAGGGGGAGTGACTGGGGCCAGCAAGATGACTCAGCAGTTAAATACTTCTACACCTGAGTTTGATTCCCAGAGTCCACATAAAGGTGGAAGGAGACAACCAGCCCCACAGAGCTGTCCTCTGACCTCCACAGGTCACCATGGCACACATGCACAGCCACCCCCCCCCCATGCACAACAAGAAATAAAACAAAAATTTTAATGCTGATAATTAAAGTTAAAATCCTCAAGGAAAGGGCTGGGGAGATGGCTCAGTGAACAAAACACATGCTGCATAACCATGAGGACCAGAGTTTAGCTCCCCAGGACCCACTTAAAAGCCTAGCAAGTGCAGCAGCTGCCTGTGATCTCAGCACTCAGGAGGCAGAGACATGGGATGCCCAAGAAAACTGACCAGCCAGACAAGTCAGAATTGGCTAGTTCTGAGTTCAGTGAAAGATTCCGCCTCAGTAAAGTGGGGAGCGATCATGAAGACACCTGACAACAACTTTGGGCTTTCACCCATGTGCGTACACACACACACACACACACACACACACACACGCACGCACACACACAGATATATGTACCTACACATGGAAACACACAGATTATAGGCAAAGCATACACAAGCCAAACTTAGAGTCAAATGTTGAGGAGATGAACACTAATGTAGATGGTGATAATTGGATAGGAGCTGGACCAAGGGGAGGAAGGAAGATTTGCCAAACAAGGGCAGGACTAGAATCCGAAGGTGTCCGTGTAGGCTCAGGAGATGTTGAGCAGAGCTTGATTGGGAAAGAACTGAGTAAGAGACTGGGCAGAAATAAAGCAAAAAGGATGGGCTGAGATTAAGAATCAGATGAGTTTTAACTACTGCTCTGAGCTCCAGGTCGATCGTGAAGGCAGTGAGGGTCCATCATGAGTTCTGAGCAGAACAAGAGATGAGACTCAATGGGGAAGGAGGGATGTGGGGGTGGAGCAAGTACATGAATGTGGAAGAACATCATACAGTGACCTGGCTTGATGGCCATGGTATGTTTATTTCAAAACTCGAAGTAGGAATGTTTTGTATAATGTGTAGCACTCTGTGTCATGCTAGGTGTTGATCTCTGGTCCATGTGTGCATTTGCAAATAAACACTTGATGAAGAACCTGAAATACTTAGAAATGTTTGGTTTAATAAAGCTGTAAGTGGAGTCAAAGATAAGACAATAAATACACTAACTAACTGCTTCACTTCACAGTCATATTACAAAACCTCACAGTCATATTAAGAAGAGCCATGGTACAGGGATACTAGCTTTGGTTAAAACAGTGTCCAAGAAAGAGATGAAGCAGAGAAGAAACGACTGTTTCAAGGGCAGCAGTAATCCTGGTCTCTACTGTGGTTCTGTTCCTTGTTCCTGCTTCAGTTTCTGTCAAATAATGTCAACTTAAAAATGTTTTAGGAAAACTTAAGATCTGCAGAA